GCTCCAGGCTCCGAGCTGACAGCACAGAGCCTGACACAGGGCTCAAACTCCCAAACCAGGAGATCATGACCTAAGCTGAAGTCAGATGCTTAACCAACTGAGCCACGCAGGTGCCGCTGCAACAGATTCTTAACTGAGAAGATCTTTTTTTACTTTAATGTCCTGTACTCCCAAGTTTTCTGTCAACTAAGTGGTTCCAAAGATGGTGTTGATTGCAAAGTATGAGTAAAGTTTTTTTATAACATTAAAAAACACACTTATTTTATGAAAACTGATTATTGTAGTAAATATGTTTTATTTAGGTTTCCCTTAAATCCTGGCAGGGCTGTATATGATATATATACTAACAGAAAGATAAATTTTTAAAAAATCCTTAGGCTTCAAAATCCCCAGATTAATGATAATTTGATATTCCTAGGATTGATGTGTGGATGGTAAGAAAAGGCATTGCATATGATTTGTAGGGATTTAAGGAATGAAGGCAGACTGTGTTCTCTCTAGCTCTGTGTCTTGGTAGCAGAACCTCTATAATATATCTCATAGAGGACCCATTCTATTAAAAATAGAATTGCTGCAATTCAGAAAAACACCACACTATTCTTCTTGGCCTTTTCTGGGCTGCAAGGCCATCTTTTACATAATACACTTTATCTTACAAATCTTTGCTGGAGACCATGATAGCCTTAAGCCCTTCAGAATGAAAAGAGAATTAACAGGCAAGTAAGTAAGCAGATGGTATGCTGTGGCCCCATATGTTAAGCATGAAATCCTCCTTCCTTTTGTTTCTTCTCACTTGATATTTCCCGCTTTCTGCCTTCCTTCTCCCTCATGGATGCTTCTGGCCTTGCTATGAAACCACCACATGCTGCTCAGATGGCTGGTTGGCATTCATTTATAGCCGAAAAGATTCCTAAACTCTGCCTTAAAATTCCCAGAAGTATGTGGAGGAGGCAGGGAAGACCAGAGAGTATAAAGGGGAATAGGCTGGTCCAAAGTGCTTATATGCCAAGGCATGTTGAGAAAAAATAGGAAGCCAAGAAATGAAAGGGACAATAATCCATCTTTGCACACCCAGTATAAACCATACAGCAATACTAACAAAATTAAACAATGACTAGATTTTAATGTTCTTTTTTATTTATTTCTGAGAGAGAGAAAGAGACAGACAAACAGACAGCGTGAGCAGGGGAGGGTCAGAGAGAGAGGGAGACACAGAATCTGAAACAGGCTCCGGGCTCTGAGCTGGCTGTCAGCACAGAGCCCGACGCGGGGCTCGAACCCACCAACCGTGAGATCATGACTTGAGCCGAAGTCGGAGGCTTAACCGACTGAGCCACCCAGGCGCCCCACAATGACCAGGTTTTAAAGATTGAGAGACTAATCACTTTTAAATAAGGACAGTATAGAAGTTAGAAAAATGATGTTATGAATGGTTAAACGTTACTACTATATATTCCTAAAGCTATTCTATGGTCTAGTTTCTGTTTCATAAAAAGAAAATGGTTTTTCTATATGCTCTGAAAGTATAAGCATGCACTTGTCATAACATCAGGCAATTTATCCCTTTTCCTAACTCAAAAGTAATCAAACAAACTTTCTGAGGACTGGTTTTTCTATATTTATTTCTGTTTACTTGTAATTAGTTTACATGAGGCTAGTACAACACTATCTATTCTATGGATGCTCAGTTATTTATTGATAGAAGAATCAAATATTAGCCTTCTAAAAATATTTCAGTCCTTAAGGAAGTTACCTTGATCTAGTTTTTATACCCTGATATTGACCTGTCACCAAGGAACAGAATCTGTATTTTGAAGGGTTGAAATTCATTCTGAAAATAAAATCATGCATTAACACTGCTCCCTTCGACTAACCTAATTAGTCATGTTCTAAACGGTTCTCTTCAATTCAAAAGTCCAGAAAACAATCTGCCTTCAACTTGTCAGCATTTTCATTCAGCTAATAAAGAATAAATGTCAATTTGCTAATTCTGCCTTGCACAAGAACTCAGAATATACCCTTAAGCAATTTGTAGGTAAAAGACAATTTAGCAATCAGTACTGTACTAAAAATGTTAAGAGTTAAAAGAATTTTGGGGCGCCTGGGTGGCTTAGTCGGTTAAGCGTCCGACTTTCACTTAGGTCATGATCTCGCGGTTCGTGGGTTCGAGCCCCGCGTCGGGCCCTGTGCTGACTGCCAGCTCGGAGCCTGGAGCCTATTTCAGAGTCTGTGACTCCCTCTCTCTGACCCTCCCCTGCTCATGCTGTGTCTCTCTCTCTGTCTCCTAGAAATAAATAAAACATTTAAAAAAAAAAAAAGAGTTAAAAGAATTTCAATTTTAGCTACCAAACTTAGATTTGTAATATCATCCTCTCTTTCAGCTTAAAGAAACAGACTCAAGTATGGATCTTGGTCTATTGCTCAGTATCTTGATTTAGTCCTCTCCCAGGCAAGGGGTCCAGTTCATTGGGAAAATACTCAACAGAACCCACAGATGAGAAAGGAAAAAAGACAATCAACAGTCATACTGAATTCTAGTTTTATTCTCCAATCACTCCTTCCCTGTTTCCATTACTGTTTGCTTCCATACAGGAACACATTTATCACAGGATCGGTCTGTAGTCACCTTCTATTTCTGCTCTTTCCCTTCGTAACTAATTTCCATTGCTTCAACTATTACTTCTTTTTTCTCCCCAACTATTACCCCTTAATCTCTCTACCGTGGGGCTCCTACCTAAGATTGTCTAGCATTTTGTATTAACAGCTACATATCTGTCTCAACATTCCATTAGCATCTCAAACTTAACATGCCCCAAATCAAAATTTCTTCTTCACAAACAAGACCTCGTAACTTCCTACCTACTTCTGTTCAAAGTATTTTCTTTCTCTTATCCTTGGCATCAACACTGAATCTTATTTCTCTTTTATTTCTAATATCTGACCTATTGGTAAGTCTTGTTGACTCTACCTCCCTTACGTCACAATATCTCTGGCATCTTTTCCCTCCATATTAACATGTCTACCACTACTCCAGTACAAAGTGCTATTACTTCTCATCTAGACTATTACATTAGCCTCTTAACTGGTCAGTAAATATGGCTGAACAAATACATGAAATGAAAATGAATGGTATCCCTATTTTAGTTCTCTCACCACCCTAATCGATCTTATGCAAAAGGTTCAGATTAATTTCCTAACACACAGCTCTAACCTCATTACTCTGCTACTCAAAATACATGTTCCTACTTCCAATATAATTAAATTTTTGTTTCACAGTTAAGGTATTTCACATGGAGCTCTATCTTTTTAAGGTTACCTATAATTTCTCTGAAACATTATCCCCTCATTGAAGCAAAGCTGGACTACTCACTACTCCACACATGCTTATGTCCTCTATCAATCTATTCATGTTACTCCTTTTTTTAAAAATTTTTTTTAATGTTTTATTTATTTCTGAGAGAGAGAGAGAGAGAGACAGAGAGAGAGACAGAGAGAGAGAGAGAGGGAGGGAGAGAGGGAGAGAGGTAGCGTGAGCAGGGGAGGGTCAGAGAGAGAGGGGGATACAGAATCCGAAGCTGGCTCCAGGCTGTGAGCTACCTGTCAGCACAGAGCCAACGTGGGGCTCGAACCAATGAACCATGAGATCATGACCTGAGCCGAAGTCAGACGCTTAACTGACTGAGCCACCCAGGCACCCCCATGTTACTCCTATACCTATAACAATCCTACTCATCAATCCAAGACTATTTTAGACCTCCTCTCCGAAACCTTTCCTGACTCCCCATCTTGATGGTTCTTTCCTCTAAAATCCCAACACGTGAATGGTACCTCTTTTAAATCATCTATAACTTACTTTGCATCATAGTAATAAAATATAACTTGTCTTATCCTGGATGATTTGAGAGAAAAAAATGTGCTTTTATTTATGTTTGAATACCCTGCAGGGCCAAGAACAGTCCTCTGCATTACAAGTTCTCAGTACTTATTTTTAGGGTAAGGAACAGAATGAGTACATAAAAAGGAACATACATGACATAGAGAAAAAAATAAGTGATAAGATCTGGGTTCTAAAACAATATATTAACCCTTACACATAAGAGTGGAAGCCAAACCTCATACTTTTCAGCAGACTGCTTTTTTTTTTACCGTATTTTTTATGAAATCTAAATTATTTTTATTTTAACACATACATTTTACCATGTGCCAAGCATTCTTTTTAGCCATTTGGATGCTGATTTAATTAATCCTTAAAACAACTGTATTTTACCTTATTTTACAAATTGGGAAACTGAGGCATGAAGACTAAGCAATTTACCCAATGTTACAAGGTTAGTAAGTGTCAGAGCCCAGGAATTCTGACTCCAAAGACTATGTATGTACCATGACTATATTTTGTACCTAAAAATATATTTTTTACTGAATTTAAAACCTGAATGAGTTGAAAATAAGGGATTTTTTCTTAAAAATTCAGAGTCATTATTAACTGCCTTATTAAAACATGTTACATATAGTACAGAAATAAACTGAAGAGGCTGCTAAGAGATAGAGGGCCGCTATACTGAATGGTACCAAAATGTCTATTTTTGTGGGTTTTTTTTCTTTCTTTTAACTTTTCCTGCTTGGTTTTTTTCCCCCTTCACACTGTTGTTTACCACTATCAATGTGCCTAAATGTGTCTTCTTCCTCTTTTCAATTTACTGAAATATGTATTAAGTAATAACCAACAGGGCTCTAAGGAGTTTCTTTTATAAAGTTCCTTATACCTTGTTACACAATGATCCGGTTTCAGGACTGAATTCCATTAAGCTGAGGCCATTAGAAGTATGATCCACAGATAAATTGGGCATTACCACATAATTTCTGACGGTATAAAAGTTATGTAAATGAGGGTCCTAAAAGTTAACAATGCTCTCCCCAAAGCAGCTTATATCAGCCCTTTTCATTATTAGAAAATGTCATAGGTATAGCAACAAACGACATATAATTTCTCCTATTCTTACCTTAGCGCCACCCAAAAATCCCAGAGAAATGGCAACCCTAGCTCGCAGATCTGGCCTGTCTTTGGGCCACACATAAGAAAGCATTGCTTTTATGATTTTCCGAGTATCAACATCCTTTAACTGTTCAAAGAGAGAAAACAAAGCAGTAATTAACATGTCACTTCAAATATAACTATATTTCAATACTGTAGAATTATGTAAATATTTAAGAAAAAGTTTAAAACATTACAAACGTAACTTTTTTTTTCAAGTACAACTAACATACAGTTAATGCAATCCCTATCAAAACACCAACAGCATTTTTCACAGAACTAGAACAAGTAATACTAAAATTTTTATGGAATTACAAAAGACCCTGAATAGTTAAAACAATCTTGAAAAAGAAGAACAACCCTACAATTCAGCTATCACACTACTGGGTATTTACCCAAAGAACACAAAAACACTAATTCAAAGGGATATGTGCACCCATATGTTTATAGAAGCGTTATTTACAATAGCCAAAATATGGAAGCAGCCCAAGAGTCCACTGATTAATGAATAAAGAAGTGGTACGTGTACACACACACACACACACACAGGAATGAAATCTTCCCATGTGTAACAACATGGATGGAGCTAGAGAGTGTAATGCTAAACAAAAAAAGTCAGTTAGAGAAAGACAAATACCATATGATTTCACTCATCTGGAAATTAAGAAACAGAACAAACATGTAAAGGGGGAAAACAGAGAAAGAGGGAGAGAAAGACAAACAGATCCTTTTTGTTATTGAGAGAGAGAGGGAGAGAGACAGAGTACAAGACGGGGAGGGAAAGAGGAGAGACAGACACACACACAAAATCCAAAGCAGGCTCCAGGCTCTGAGCTGTCAGCACAGAGCCTGATAGGGGCTCAAACCCATGGACTGTGAGATCATGATCTGAGCAGAAGTCAGTCGCTTAACCAACTGAGCCACCCAGGTGCACCAACAGATTCTTATTTTAGAGAACTGATAGTAGCAGTAGAGAGAGGAGTAGGGGAATGAGGTGATGGGGATGGGGGGGGACTTGATGTGATGAGCACGGGGCAATGTGTGGAATTGGTGAATTACCATATTAGACACCTAGAACTAATATTACACTGTATGTTAACTGGAATTAAAATAAAAACTTTAAAAAAATGAAACTGGAGGTATCACGATCCCACATTTCAAGATATACTACAAAGCAGTAATAATTAAAACAGTATGGTACTGCACAAAAACAGACACACAGATCAACAGAACAGAAAAGAGAGTCCAGAAATAAACCTGCACTTTTGGCTGATGCATTGGGGCACATGTACCCCAATGTTCATAGTAGCACTTTCAAAAATAGCCAAAATATGGAAAGAGCCTAAATGTCCATCAACTGACAAATGGATCAAGAAGATGTGGTTTATATATACAATGGAATACTACATGGCAATGAGAAAGAATGAAACCTGGCCATTCATAGCAACGTGGATAGAACTCGAGGATGTTATGCTATGTGAAATAAGTCAGGCAGAGAAGGACAGATACCATGTTTTCACTCATAAGTGGAACAGAAGAAACTTAACAGAGGATCATGGGGGATGGGAACGGGAAAAATAGTTGAGGAGAGGGAGGGAGGCAAACCATGAGAGACTCTTGAATACTGAGAATAAACTGAGGGCTGATGAGGGAGGGGCAGAGGGAAAGGTCACTTGTGGGGATGAGCACTGGGTGTTATATGGAAACCCAACTTGACAATAAACTATAAAAGGGGAAAAAAAGGAAAAAATAAAGCAGTGGTTGTGAAAGCCAAAAAACCCCCCAAAAACCTGCACTTTTATGGTGAATGACTCTATGACAAAGGAGGCAAGAATATCCAATGGGAAAAAGACAGTCTCTTCAACAAATGGTACTGAGAAAACTGGACAGCTACACGCAAAAGAATGAATCTGGACCACTTTCTTACACCATACACAAAAATGAACTCAAAATGGATTAAAGGCCTAAATGTGAGACCTGACACCATAAAATTCCTAGAAGAAAACATCGGCAGTAATCCCTTTGACATTAGCTATAGAAACGTTTTCCTAGGTATGTCTCTTCTGACAAAAGAAAAAAAGCAAAATTAAACTATTAGGACTATACCAAAATAAAAAGCTTTTGCACAGTGAAGGAAATCTTTTTTAAAAAGGCAACCTACTGAATGGGAGAAGATAGTTGCATACATAACTTTTATTCTGACTCTAAGCTCAATATCTTTCAAGCTCAAACTACCCTGGAAAAAGAGAAACTATTTCAATTGCTTTTAAAAAGCTACTTATATCCCTTAACTTTTTACTTCCAGCTATAGCCATTCTCATAATTGCCAAAAAAGGTATTCAGTGGAGGCAAAGGGACTTATATTATACATTTATTTCTCATCTATTAAGCTATCAATACATTATACAAAATTTAAGAAATAATTTAATAGTTTCATCTTTGTGGTCAAAATCTTTATATACTTTTGGGTTCTTTATCAAAATGTTTATTTAAAATAGTTTGGAGCCTTCAGTCAAAACTTCATGGTAAAGTAGAGTCATAAAGCAATGTCTAATAAAGTAGGAGTCTTGGTATTAATTATATAGAACAGAGGTGGAGTTATTAAAAATTTCAACAAAACCACAATTTTCTAATCATGCTTAATCTAAACTAAATCATCTCACATTTTTCTTTCTCTCAAGTTCCTGAGACAACATTCTCATTAAATATTTTTGTTTTAGTTTCAGCTTTTGGAGGCAGAATATTAAGAATCAAAACCATACTTTGTAAAGCCAAAATAAGATCAATACATATATGTTCCAAAATTATTATGTTATTATAGTTGGCAAAAGAATTTCCATTTTAAAACCTGAAGTATCTATTCAATTTCTGGAATAGATATTTAAAAAAAAAAAGTTAATGCTCATTGCTGGTGAAGTTGTATTGAAATGGGTACTCTAACACACTGTTAACGGGAGAGTGCACTGAAACAATCTTTCCAGAAAGCATTTGATACCCACCATCAGCTTTTAAAATAATTTGCCCTTTGTGTCAAGAATTCCATTTCTGGAAACTTATGTATGATTTAAAAAATACTTAAGAATATGCTCCAAGTTAAATCAATTTTACTTCATGAAAATTTCTTTTATCAGTCTACTTCTATTTTCACTACCAACCTAATCTAAGCTATCATAATCTCTCACCCTAAACCACTGCAACCACCTCCTGATTGATTTCTCTGCATCCATTCTGCTCCCTGTTCAATTAGTTCACCCTGCAATCAGATATTGCAATCAATAAACAAACTCCCAGTTTAAAACTGTTCAACTGCATCCTATCCTCTTCAAGATCAAAGTTTATAACATGCCTTATGAGGGTCTGCTTGGCTTGGTTCCTGACTGCTTTCAGTGTTCATACCTTATTAACTTTCTTTTCTTTTACTTCCTCAAATATACTATAATCCCTTCTGCCACAAGGCATTTGCACGATATCACTCATTCTGTCTGAAATAATCTCCCTCTGTGCAACACCAACCCACTCCCCAACCTCTTCTAATTAGTTAACTGCCAATACCAGCAGCACTTCTTCCATGAGGCCTTCCCTAACCCCAGTCAGGATCCTTGGCTGTATTCTGAAACATCAGAGTATTCCTCTCTTCCAGAGTATCCATTTTAGTTACAAATTACATATACAGAAGTGATTTGATTAATATCTGCTCTTCTGTTAGAATTTAAATTCCATATGAGTAGCAACTGGTGCTCCCTGTTGTAACTCAATATTAAATATAGTGGCTGACATACAGTAGGTACTCAACACGTATCTATTGAATAAAAGAATGAAAAATTTAGTCATAAGGATGTTTATTCTCATGCGGTTTTAATAGAAAAAAAGTTGGAAACAGCCTAAATGATTAATAATGGAGAACTGTGTAAACAATTTATAGTGAATGTACACAACAAACTTTAGCCATTCAGAAATATATGTAGTAACACAGATACATGTGAAGTGAAAAAAGCAGAGCACAACACGTATTTTTTGTGTTAAAGAATATGATGTGTTTATGAGTTTACACATGCATACAAAGGGGTCTGAAAGCAATTCCTCCAAAAGTGTTAAAATAAGTAGCTGTGAGTAGATGGAAACATTGATGAATTTTTATATTCTTTTTGCTTGCTTGCATTTTCTGTAGTTCATATATAATAAGGAAAAAATTAGTTCATCTTGCGGGGAGGAAAGTTATGCAATTTCAATTAAATGTACGCAGCAAGGAATGGGGGAAAACTGCCAACATATAAGAAACCCAGGACATTATTTAGGATAGTTTTACATTATGGTTACTGTCCCCCAAACTCAGAAAACTATTTTTCTAGTCCCTTTTAGTCCATTTATTGAGTAAAGAGCAACAGACATAAAACTGTTCATACTATATTAAAAACAGGACTACCTTCCTGGTTGCTTTAAAGATAGAAGGTGGTGCTTGGAATTCTCTGTGTGTCTCTCTCTCTCTCTCTCTTCCTCCCTCCCTCTCCCACTAGCTGTCTCTCAAGTAAACTTAAAAAAAAAAAAGATATAAGTTGGCAAAAACATGAAATGCTGAAAATAGAGTCCTTAATGTTTTATTTTATACACACATATACTCACATACGCTCTCATAACCAGTAAGGTATTTTTAAATGGTATTAAGGCTATAATTTTAACTCACTTTTTCAATCGAAATATTACTAAATAAATATAATTTAATGCATTATAACGCAAATTGAGGCATTTCAATCACTTTCTTGTTTCACAGGTTTTATCTGTCTTATTTTTCTTGATGGAATAATGACAAAAAGGCCCTGTTTCTACATATCTTTAGAAATACTTTCTCCTGTCAAAACCTTCTAAAACAGATCCCAAATTTTTTCAATAAGGGCACAGAGAAGTTATGGCTAAGAGTAAGAAAATTATTCTAGTTGGCTTAATAGTGCATAAAATGTGACCATTTCATTTAACAAAATGCGTTCTAAAGTTGTGTAATCATGCATTATGAGTTCATTCAGCTATAAAGTACCTGACTTAAGTTATACATTAGATACACTATAAAGCTTGAAAAATGTCTCTTTTTATAAG